TTTGCGATTCCTGACCTCTGATAATTGGCGAGCAGCGTGTGACTGATGGCTGCCCGAGCCTCACTGTCACCTGCACAGACGTGGGCCCGTCCGCTGAATTATTAATGGCTAATATCATTATGTAGGCACCGCTTGTCATAACAATCCAGGCCGGTGGAGGGAAACTCAATCTGCTGCCCCTGCCCCTGCGCAGACAATTGCTTTTAATTATTGATACGGACTAATTGGCTACAGGATTCGCGGGGCACACCGACTTTTGTTCCTGGCACAGCTCGCCCTGCTCCTTCAAGAAACAATCTTATTAGGAGGCACACTCCCTGATACCCACATGTCGGCAAATTAGCAGCGAGGACGACCCGGCGAGCTCCTGCCCTCACCTCTCCTCCTCCTCAGCTACCTTTTTAGCCTGTTCTCTCAGAATTTGAGAGTCTCCTCTTCCCTTTGTCTTCACCTCAACGTCCGACCGCAGTTAATTAAAAAGGGACAACGAAGCAGGAGGAAACACATCGCTATTCACAACACATTCCTTCACACAGGGTTAGTTTCAAAGTCTGTGTGGACGGATGGACGGACGGAGGTGAGAGAGGTGCACTGAGGGGTTAATGGAGTTTAATTAGGGCCAGTGTGAGGCTCTGATGCAGTGCAGTGTCAGGCCACACGGTGGTCTTCGGTGCCCTTTAATGTTCAGCCTCTCAGCCAAACTGGAATGAACCGACGCTAATGTCCTAGAAATACTTCCTTTCAAAGTTTTTCAGCATCAGGAATATTCCGGCTGCCGTTTTTTAGACGTAGAGTTTGTTGAATTATTATTAGAATATCCATCAGCAATTTTACATAAAAAATAAAAAATAAAGTGAAACTAAATGTCAGAGTTGTTTGACAGGAGGTTCACTGCTGATAAAGGACTTAGTTTAACTTCATATTTAAACAGATTTAACTATTTTTACCCAAACACAAAAAGAGGAGTGAAGCTCAGGAGCTGAAACAAAAAAAAAAACAAGAAACAAAGATTTTGATTTTAAAAAGTTTATTTTCTAGCTGCAGCGTTAATGTTGCACAGGAGCATTTGACCTGCAATGACCTCTGACCTCTGCTTACACAAGAAGAAGGAAGAATAAATGATTGATTTGCTTGTTTCTTTGAGGCGTCTGAGTGGACGGTCAGGATAAATCTTTAATCTGAGGGCAAACCTGTCCAGAAGGAAGGATGGGTTTCTAACACACACACACACACACACACACACACACACACGGAGTGAAGAAGTTGGCGAGGCTGCTCAGGTGTGTCTCGTTAAATCTGAGGAGAGGAAACGCAGCTGTGTGTGGTGGAGAAGAATAGAAGTCTGTCTTTGAAGTTTAGTGTGTGTGTTTTTGAGAATGAACCAGAGAGAAAAACTTTGAAATTTTGATTTGAAATGAGGCAGTGGTGGCGTAGTGGTGAAGGAAGGCTTTAGGTTCGAGTCCACCAGCTGCCGAGTTACCACTGAGCAAGGCACCGTCATCACACACACCTGCCCACTGTCCACCGTCTGTGGACTGAGGCTCCTGTTTACGTTTAAAACCTTAATGTCAACTCATTTTACCTGGATGTTTACATGGATAAATATTCTACACATTTCTGCCTCCATGTTTACTCTTCTCGTACTGTTAAATATCTCACATCTTTATTGTGTATTTAGAACACTTATTCTACACAACTGAATAGGTTTCATTTTCAATTTTTCTCTCATTGGAGATCTGACTTTTGTTTGAATCCCCGGTCCGTGTCAGAAAGCTCCCTGATGTACGTGTTATGTATGTGTTTTGACAGTCGTTAGAGGAAGGTTTAACGGAAGTTACTTTGTAACTTGTTTGAATCCCCGGTCCGTGTCAGAAATGGCATTGAATTTATTTTCATGTTTTTATATTAGTGAAATCCTCCAGAGAACAAAAAAAACAAACGTGCTGTTGTCATACGCTGCTCGGTTGCTCCTCAGGAACCGCGTTGCCGGTGGCGAGGAAACTGTCGGCGGAATCCTGAATTAAAACGGCTACAATATTTAAACACTGTCTGCCAAATGAGACGAGAACGTGCAAATTTAATGGCCTCAAGAAATGAACGCTTTGTTCAACTGAATGTCTCACTCAGCTGTGATTTGATTTTGAAATAAAAACAAAAAAAAAAGTCTTTTGAAAATTGAATCTAAATCTACATCTGGTGTCTGTGTGTGAACAGCAGAACAGACACAAACACAGAAGATGGAAGCCTTCGTTTCTCTGCCGGCTGAAATATTCATTTCTTTTCAACACGCTGTCAAATCCAAAGACAAGCAGACGGCCAGAAAGTAGGACAGAGATAAGAGCTGGCCGAGCGAGGCTGAGATGGAGAGAGAGAGAGAGAGTAAAAACAAACACATTTCCAGTTATTTTAACAGCGTCAGTTTTTATAAATTTCGATGTTAACATGATTAAAATTCTTTACAATTGTTAGTAAAACTGAAAACACCTCCTATTGGTCACATGTGGACAAACCAGGAAGTTATTGTTTCTACTTGAAAACAAAAATGATTTCTATAGAATATATTACTTACAATAATTATTAATTATAATTAATTATTTATTATAATTATTAAGAGTTCATATATATATATATTTTATTTCCAAGAAATTTTTTTTGCCATTCCATCCAGTGTTTAATAGCAGCTCCCAGATTTAGTAAACTGCTCACTCTTCTGTACCAAAGTCCATGAAGAAAACGGACGATTTAAGCTCACAGAGACACAGGACTCTGCTCGTCTGCTGCTGCCTGGTATGGGTTTAGGCTGTGACACTGAGGTGAACCACAAAAATGATTTCACTCGGCGAAGACACAGAACAACAGGTTTGAATTGATGTGACGTCAAATGTGGTCGATGTTAAAAACAAACAGGTTAAAACTGGAGTTTAACAGTTTGATCCTCGACCAGAAATGTGGGGATTTACCTTGAATGGCATCAGAGGAGTGTGTGTACAGTACAGGACTGTGTATCATTACACACACACACACACACGCACACAGTGACAACTCAACCACACACATGACCCATGCATGCAACACACACTCATCCACGGGGACCAGACTCAGTCAGTGCCATGTTAGGAACGAGAGAGTAGGCATGGGACGGAGCAACACACACACACACACACACACACACACACACACACACACACACACACACTCTGCTGCCGGCCTCTGTGGAATAGCCATGTCACCATCAGAGGCTCCTCGGCTCTAATCTGCTTTTTGGGGCCGCTCCACAAACACTCATCTGCATAATCGGGACGACAAGTGTGGAGAGGGCGAACGAGAGGGAAGGGGAGGGGGAGGAGGAAAGGACGAAGAAAGGGTGAGGTGAGTAGCAGGACGGTTGGGTGAAAAGAGGAGAGGACGAACATGTGGCGTGAGGACGGAGAGGAGGGATTGAGATTTAAATGAGGGGGAGGAAAGACAGAAGGAAGAAAAGGGAAGGTGAGGGAGGAGGACGCAGCAGCAGTGTGTGTGTGTGTGTGTGTGTGTGTGTAAGGCTTGAGGTGTGTGTCCTATATTGACCATGACAGTCACACCTGCTGCCTCCTCCTCACCTCTCACCTCCACTCCTCTTCCTCTTCCATCAGGAGTCAAACCCACTGTTTCTATCATTTTTCTTGGTTTGTGTCTTTTCAGAGCGGGGGAAGCCGGGGCAGTATGCAGTGGGTGGGGCGGGGGTGATACCCTGGGCAGTTCACAGTCAGGGTCAGGGTTTGTGTGGAAAGAAAACCCTGGTTCCTGGAGAAATCCTGCACCCACTCTGTGACAAGACGCAAACACCTGAGAGAAAGAGCAGGGATTGAACCAGTGACCTTCTCTCTGTAAGGCAAGTCACCGGGTTGGCAGTGGTTCAGTGCATATGAAAGTGATCGTTGAACTTCTTTACTCAACAGTTGTCTTTGATCAAGGTACCTTTGATATTTCAAAGCTCCTTCCTGACCAGCAGTCAGTCACCAGGTGAAACAGCGTCAGAGCAGCTGCTTCCTGGTTTTTCACTCCTGTCATTATGAGTGTTTTGCGCGTTGACGCCAAAGTAGTGATGCTGGGTAAAGAGAGCGTAGGAAAGACCAGTTTGGTGGAGAGATACGTTTACCATCGCTTCTCGGTTGGTCCGTACCAGAATGTGAGTGGTACTTCACGTGGTACTCACCTTGACCTAATACTTCAATCCACATCGTGTATTTTTCTTCATCACTTTTGTTTTCATCCTCTCCCCCCGACAGACGATCGGCGCTGCTTTCATTGCCAAACCGACTAAAGTTGGAGAGACAGTGATAACTTTAGGAATATGGGTGAGCGAGAAGCGACTTCACGAGTCTGAATACATTGACCAACTTTACTACTTTAATTTTTTTTAATTTTTTTTTTTTTATACAGATACACTGACCAACTTTACTACTTTAAATTTATTTATTTATTTATTTATTTTTACAACCCAGGACACGGCTGGATCAGAGCGCTACCAGGCTATGAGCAGGATCTATTACAGAGGAGCCAAGGCCGCCATAGTCTGCTACGGTAAACTGCAGCTCATTTAGCTGAGGAGGACGTTGCTGATGTCCGTGGTTATTATTGTCTTTTAGCTAATACTATGTTATTATAACATATATCAACTTCTCACCTTGAAAAACAACGTATCGATGTAAGAACCAATGAGTGAGTTGTGGCTTTTAGACATGAAAACCAAACATTTGAATCTTGATTCAGAGTACTGTCTGTGACTGATCCGTTTTTTTTTTTTTTCTTCTTCACGTTCAGATCCCACAGACAGCAGCAGCTTCCAACGAGCTCAGTTCTGGGTGAAGCAGCTGCAGGACTATGATGAGACTGTAAATACAAGTTTTATTCCTAGTACTGTGTAGTTCTTTCTCATCCAGACCACGTCTCACGTCTGTGAGGAGCTTTTGAAGTCTTTTACAGCTGTCACTTAAAGAAGACAGTGATGTGATGTTGTTGTTTGGAGCCAAATACCACAGTTCACCATCTGAAATGTTGTTTTTATTATATTACAAGGGAGCATTTGGTGAATTTTGTAGCATGTACATTTGGTCTAAATATGTGTATGACATCATGTACTGCTAGTTTTTCAAATTAAAAATGTAAAGAGCCTGTATAACGTGGAATAACCTTGTGTCTTGTTGTGCCTCAGGGCTGTAGGATCTACCTGTGTGCTACTAAGAAAGACCTAATTGATGAAGATCGGACTTTACGGCAGATCGACTATCACGATGCTCAGGACTTTGCTGAAGGTAACTGAAGCCCGACTTTTCAAATCCTTCTGATTTGACAGCATCACTCAGACCATTTTTTCATTTCAAACGCAGATATTGGTGCCGAGCATGTGGAGACCTCCAGTAAAACTGGAAACAACGTAGGTGAGTCCCGTCTCTGAAGTCACTGCAACTGATTTAAAAACACATTTATTAACGTGTTAAGGTGAATGAACCAACCTGATACGAACCATCTGCTCCTCAGATGAGTTGTTCCAGAAAGTAGCCGAGGACTACAGGGACTCTGTCTTCCTGCACATGACAGGTGACTCTAATAAGTCCAATTCCACACACGTTTGTTCATTTGTAACTAAGAATCAAATACTTTATGGGTTATATTTGTTTCAGTCCAAAATGAAGCTATTTTAGCTTCTAGCTGCTTCAGGCTAATTCTGTCCTATTTTTCAGCAAAGATTCGGTTCAAAAGTGTGAAGGTTCATGTGTCTGACCTGAAACTGACAATATACTGATGAACAATGAATCAATTTCAAAGCAGATCTGTGTTTTTCTGTTAAAGCCGAGGAGACCGGCATCAACCTGGACCAGAGGACGGACTCGTATTTGTCCAACTGTTGTCACATGAACTGAGGTTGAAGCACCAGCTCCGGATTGAAGACGGGATGTAGATAAGTTTGTTTGTTTTTTAAAGAAAGTTGTAATGGATGCTACAATGTTAAAAACAACATTGACAAGTGTCAAACCTGAATCTCCTCTGCACCAAAGCAACAGATCTACAAATCATTACATGATTTTTTTTTTTTTTTTTTTTTAATAAAGCAGCCAAGAGGGAGACACATGATGGAGGACATGGTTGGTTGGTAGAGCTGGTTGGTGTTGTTAGCAGGATTCCAGTGACAGGAAGTCTCTTTTCCTGAACATCTGTATGGGTCATGTGACTTTCACATGGAAACGACTGGCAGTTTCACCCCAGACTAAACCTTTTGCGAACAGTGCTGAAGTGCTTCCCTGATTTCCGTCTCCTCTTCTCTGACATGCAGATATATTCACACAGTCTGCTCCCACTGTGCTCTTTAATTTCGGCCTCCTCTTCCTCCTCTGCATCTCTTTTACATACCCTTCCTATCACTCAGTCCGAGTCCCACAGCCGCCGCCAAAAAGCCCTGAAACCGAGCGCCGGTTCAGGACCCAGACGGAGGCTCCTGAATGCAGAGTGGGAATGAACGGGCGTTTGTGAGGACGGCTAATTGAGCTGCCTTTAAAATTCCCCACAGAGGACCCTGGGTAGTTTTTACCTGGAGGGGACATCGGGCCAACAGGGGGCTCTCAACAGAGACGAGTGATGAGAGGATGTTCAGTAGTAACAAGACCTTGAGCATAAATCTGCACAGAGAGAGAGAGATTTAAATGTAGAAATTCAGATGAACCAGGAAACTGTTCAGTCTCTGATTCTGTCACTTCAGATTTCACCAATGAACCAATCAATAAACACTGTTTCTCTACAGTGAGACATGGAGAACAGCATGGAAGAATTTGTTTGGTTCTTAAACAATATGCCATTTAAAATATATATATATGTGTGTATAAATATATACACTAAAATTTGTAAAAGTGTGTGTGTGTTAAGAATCCTGCTACTGTACGTCTGTTTGATTTACAGAGGGAAAATTTAAATGGGAAAAAATAGTGTCCAACAAATATAATCCAGCAAATTAAGTTGTTTTTTTTTAAATGTAAATGGCTCCAAGATTTCCATAAATTATAAAAAGGTAAATAGAAAATACCAACAATTTAGTCTTTAAATAACAAAACACTCAAATTTAACCTAATGTTTTTGAAAAAAAAAACTACAGTAAATAACTATTTTTTTCTGGAACAGTGAATGCACCACCTTCTATTATCCTAAGCTAAGTTAGCCAATCATCTACGCAGCAGTGTCAGGTCTGTCTGTTCCTGCTGTGTGGGGTAATCAGTGTCATCACACTCACCTGTGTCTCTGTGATTGGTCTCTGGTGTCACCTGGTGCCCTGTGTATAAATACCTTGTGGGATCGTTGTATCTGTTTGTTGTCTGTCTGTTCAAGTCTGTTCCTGTGCTCAGCTCAGTTTAGCTCAGCTCAGCAGTTCATGCCTTGTCTGGTTCATGCCTTGTTCCTGGTCTTGTGAAGAAGTGAGATTTTGTTGTTTTGACTTTGCACAAATAAACTACCTGCACCAGAAAGAGTCTCTCCAGTGCTGCATGTCATTCCTGCCATGTCATTGGCCAATCCTGACACAGCAGGCATCTTCAAACATGGACCTCTGTTTACCCTGTCAGGTCACTCTGTGTCCACATATATGCTGCAGGTTGTGTGTCTGAGACCTGGGGTCTGTAGTTGAACCCCTTCCTCAGCCCAGCAGCCGCTCACCCACTGCTTTGTCCAAGTTTTTCCCGTTACAAGAGAATGATCTTGTCCCTGGTCCACATCCACGGACGCTACTCACTCACTCACCCACTCACTCACTCCTGTGGAAGAAGTTACATTAGCAGCAGGTGAGAGATGGGTGAGTTAGCATGTGCAAGTGTGTTCCAGTTTGTGTGTGTGATGGAGAGGGGAATGAGGGGAGCAGGAGGGGGGAGAAAGGAGGAGGGGGAGGGTGTTTCCCCAGCGGGACGCATTAACAAGCCCATCCAGTTAAATGTAGCCCCTGCATTACCTAATGTACCAGCCCTTCTCCAGCAGTGTAGGAGACAGCAGCATCCATTATTGATCAGCTGGAGCGTTGCCTCTGAAGCCGGGAGAAGCCTGGTGGAAGAAGGGAGAGAGATGGAGGTGGAGATGGAGAGAGGAGGAAGAAGAGAAAGAAAGAAAGAGGAGAGAGATTTGCTGTGAGGGAGACGAGATGTGTTGAAGACATGATTTATTAGGACTTTGCCGTCTTTTCACTTTCACTTAGTTCACTCCCCAAAAATCTTCAAACTGACTCGTCAGGTCTTCGTCTTCGTTCCTCTCCAAGTCCGTCTCTCTGTCGTCTTCTTGTCCTTCATCCATGATTTGTAAGCCTGGATCATCGTTGTCGCCTCCGTCCCTGCTGACAGGCGCTCTCATCATCGTCATCCACAACACGATGTTTTTTTTTTTTTTTTTCAATCCTCCAATAGTCCATCCACACTCCACTCCATCATCCCTTCCTCTCATTCCTGTATCCCTCTCTGGTGAGATTGGCTGCAAGGAGAATTTAAATTTCACAGGAAGTCATCGGAGACTTGGGTTTTTGCTTAGTTTGCGCAGAGGGTGAATCCATGTTTCTATCTGTTTGTCTAGTGGTTTCCTTCTGTGGGTGATTATGCACACGTTCAGGCAGCAGCAGCAGCAGCAGCAGCAGCAGCAGCTCAGGGTCTTTGGCCTTGCCACTGGCTGCTCTGTTTTATTCTGGGTAGATTTCAATTATCACTCCTGGCCATATTTAAATTTGACTCTCTTCATCGCTGCAGCCTCTCCGTCGTACACTGATCTTTTTCTCTTTGCCCTGAGGGCTACATTAAAGTTATCTTTTGATTTAGCAGTTTATTTTTCTCTGTTTGGTTGGTTACCTGCTCCAGAGGCCGAGCCCCGCTGCAGTCGTCAGATAAAATAAGCCTGTGATCCGATCGCTGATGAGGCGAACGCGAGCGATGCTCCGTGTTTATGTGAACAGAGTTCTTCGCTGAAATAAAGAAACGTGCTGACCTTGTAGTGCTGGCTGGAGAGGTACGGCTATCTGGGATGATATGAATGAACCTGTGATGCAATCACAGTGCAGTATCAAGCCCAAGTTATTGCAATACTCTGATGATAATAATCATAGAAGTGTAGCCCAGGTTTAACTGCAGTACCTGGGGTTTTGAAGTAGTACCAGCTACTGTTGCGAGGACACGTTGTCCTTTTATGGACATTGTCCAGGTTCACATACTCAAAATTGAGATTAATTAGAGATCAGATTGGAGTTAGGGCAGGGATTAAGATTATAAGTGTTTTAGCTGATGTTTAGGCTGGAGGCTGCAGAATCAATGGATGAACGTCTGTGAAAGACTCCAAAAACATGAAACCACTGTGTGTCTGCGAGTGTGTGTGTGTGTGTGTGTGTGTGTGTGTGAACTGCAGTTGACTGGGGGCAAAGCTAAATTATTCATGGCAGTTTCAGTGCAGAATTATGTGACAGTTAGCTTTAATTTCCACGTTTAGCAGCAGAGAGAAAAAAAACTCTTGTTGTAACAAATCAATAGAACAGCGTTCAGCAGCAATCATTATGACTGAGGTAATAACACACACTCACACACACACACACTCTCTCACACACACACAGACACTCACAGACATATTGAATCCTTAAAATCCTTGAAATAAAGGACTGAGTTTTTTCTTCACTCTCCTGAACCTCCGACACGTCTCCTCCTCCTCACGTCTCCTCCTCCTCACGTCCCCTCCTCCTCACGTCTCCTTCATTGATCTCCACCTGAAGTCAGAGGAGGATCGGTGACGCTTGGCCTCAAAGAACAATTAATTGTGCATGTGATCGATGTTCATCCACAAATCAATAAATAGGCCGCTCCTCTGAGTGTGTGCTCGTGTGGGGGGAAAAAAGTGGCAGCGTTTGAACTTTTTTGTTTCCTTCTACTTCTTCTACTAATGAACTTCTTTGTTGTTTTGTCAAAAACTCAAAACTTATGTTTGTGTTTTCGGAAATAATAGTATGAAAATAGGTTTTTTAGTTTTAGGTGTTATTGACATTTCAAAAAAATACTACAAAAATACTCGTTATTAAGTATTTCCTAACTGTGGGCCACAGTTACTCCACTGTAAAGACATTTTTACTGACTTCAAGTTGGACCAAAAAGGTTGGTCTTGACTCAAGTGAGACCAGACTTTAGTCCAGAGTATGCTAAAGGTTAGCCAACATATACTTCCTGTATATGTTTCGCCTGTTTCTGGCTCTTTTTTTTTTTTTTTTTTTGGCCTGAGTTCACATTAAAATACCTGAAAAGTGGGCCACGTTCTTGGTCCCAACAACCCACTTCTTGATTCCAAAATGCCGGCTCCTTAATGACTTTCAAATCAAACATGTCCGACTCTCTTCACCCTTCAGGTCTGAAGTTGGAGCGTAACATAAAAAGCTGTAGAAGAGGAGAACCTTATTATGAGCTGAGAATGAGGAGGTGGAGGAGAAGGAGGAGCGGAGACGAGGGAGGCCACCCAGCTGAGTGGCCTCATGAAAAAATAAACAGGAAACCAGCGACCAGGACAGGACAAGAGCGGGGCGGTGGGGAGTGGGAGGCAGGGGGTGATGTTGTCCTCCTGCCACCCACCAGCGGAGGAAGGCGAGGGTTAGAGATGAAGCACGGGTGGGGCTCTTTACTTCCTCTGCCCCGGCTGACTGGGGCGGACCTCTGCTGCCCCGGCCTTTTCTTCCCTGGGTCACAGTCAGAGCAGCGGGATGATGAAGAGACTGAATTTTTGATTTGAGAAGTGGAAAAATGATGAAAAATACATCATGAAAACACAGAGAGAGAGAGAGAGAGAGAGAGAGAGAGAGTCAGCCCGAAATTAAAACTGAGCTGAAGCCCAGAGAGCATCATCACACCAGTCCAATATCCAACGATCCATCGTCTTTGGATCAATATATCCATTCATTGTTTAAGTTGGCAGTGATGGAGGGGTATTAATTAATAAGGTGTTATTAATTAATAAGTTATTATCTGCTGATTGTCCTCTGTTCTCTCCCGCACTGTATTTAATGGTAAATATTATCCATTTAAAAGCAGCCTAAGATCAATCAAAATATACTTGTGTTTTTATTTTAATGCTTTTGTCAAATGTTTTTTTTTTTTTTAATCAGGTTTTCCACCCTGAAAAACACTCCTGTTATTATATATTAGAAACGCCCGGAGAGTTGTTCCTCAAACGTCTGACCCAAAGCTGAGGAAAAAATACTGTACACAATAGGCAAACAGTGCATTCAGGCTAAGGTCGTGACCCTGGGGATCAACCCTGTCCTCAGGAACTGCTGTTTGTAGAACGTAACACTTTGGTGTAAACAGTTAATGTAAACAGTACTGTGTCAGTCAGTACTGTGTCAGTCAGTACTGTATCAGTCAGTACTGTAAGACTGCCTCATGTTGGAGATGATTTTTTTTTGTATTCATAGGGGTGCAATCTTAAAGCAGTGATGAGCAGATGGACTTTTTTTGAAGATTTTTCAGAACCTCAATCCAAAAACATCCAGTGGGTTTAAAAACCAGAGAACAGACTATAAAGAAACGTCTGTGTTTATGTTCAGCCGACGAAAAGTTAGTCAAAAACTTCTTTATTTTTACATCTGAACCACTCGACTGAACTTTTATTAAATTGTCTCAGTGTCACAGTTTTACTGTGTGATGGAGTGGAGGTTGAACAAGGCCGTAGAAAAACAGGGAGGTGTGAGTGGAAGAGGGTCTGAGTGGAAGAGGGTCTGAGTGGTTCAGAGGGAGAGAGGAGGCCCAGGTGAAAAAGAAAGATGGAAATGGCAGCAATGGAGACAAAGAGAGAGGAGGAGGGAGAGAAGGAGAAGGAGGACGAGGCCAGGCACACTCTCTCACTCTCTCACTCACTCTCTCTCTCTCTCACTCACTCACTCACTCACTCAGGAAAAGGAAAGACTGCAATTAATTATTTACATCATCTGTCACTGTGCGCTCCACTGGACCACTCAACAAACAGCAGCCGTAATTTCAGGCAAACACACACACACACACAGAGGGAGAGAGAGAGAGAGAGAGAGAGAGAGAGAAAATGCATGCGTG